CACAGTCATCCCGAAATGCGGGGAGAGGGAAGTCTTCTGATAAAACCGCTCAGGTAGCCCCCCCGAGGTGGTGTGTAAAAAGCGTGGCTGGTGGAGACCACATATTAACTTTGATATGATGCTAATAATGGGGTTTATGTACATAGGGCATTGGTGGGGTGATAACCTAGACCTCCTGTTTGCTGTCCTTAGGAAAGGACCAGAGTGATAGCTCATTTCTGATCGGGAGCCGATAAAGGCGGCCCTCAAGGGGCATGTGGTCCAGCTGGGGACCCACAACCATGGCACTGCAAATGACTTCATCGTCAGTCAACTGAGCCTCGGGTGCCGAGTCTGAATCCGAGTCGGACGAGGGTGGCGTGAGGTGTGTAAGGGGTTTCTCTTCTGCCTCCACCACTTCCGCAGACATGCACCGCTCGCACAGTCGCTTAGGCGGTGGGAGAACATCCGCTGCAGTCTTTTCCTGCAATGCTCGCCTATCTCCATTGGCTGAGCGGAGGGAGGAGGAGGCGGATGAGGGACGTTTCTGGCCAGATGTTGTGGCCACCACCGGTAGCGTGGGATGGACCGAGAGGCCGTGACAGCTGTCCTGATGGGCCCGCCACACGGAGACAGGAAACATGGTTGCGGGCTCCTTCTCACCCACGCCGACTGTCGGTGACGTAAAGTCGAAGATGGACACCGCACCTGTCTGGCTGCCGGTAAAGAGGTAGCGGCCAGTGCTGGAGAGTGTTGAGGGTCATGAAAGGCAAGAGACAATGATAGGCAGCATTGAGGTTGTTACAGGCCGCATAAGAAGAGGAAATGGTGTAGTAAAGGGGAATGGGGATGAGGACGGCTCAGTACGCGAAGAGCGCTCGGTTGCGCTGACCGCGACAAAAGCACATACATACATGTGCCCACTTACGCATCAAGACCAAACTGAAAGCGCTGATAATTTTCCACGCGCCTGTGCAGTACGACCAGAGGACTGGCCATCCACCGGCCGTCCCACACAAAGATCTGCGAGTCCACACGCCCACCGGCGATGAGGTACCAGGGCGACCCAGCGTTGGCGGGCTCTGCGAAGGCAACCTGGCTTACTCCGCTGCGCGGTCCCTCGGCCAAGGCGACTTGACGACCGGGCTCAGTGTAGACCCCAACGGAGCCGCTGAACGAGCCCGCAGCGTATAGACCTCTGTTGCCACATTGATGAGCCGCCAGGCAGGAGATGATACCGCCTTGGTCAGGTTTTTCTGTAGAAAGATACAAAAATGCGTCATCATCACCACCAACACCGTTGTTGTCAACAATACCACCACCACCACCACCAGCAGCAGCAGCAGCAAGCTGTAAGTCCTGCGAATGCTGAGGGCCGGGCTGGGCCACCAGGCGGGCCAACAGAAAGACGAAGAGTCACGACAGAGAAGGGTTATACAGGCCCACCGACCAAGGTAATGTGTTCTATGGTAGTGTACGCAGGAAGGACTGAGTTGGGATTTTATATTAATAAGCAGGAAGGCTCTTCTATCGAATCAGTAAATATGCGAGGGTTCCTGCTTCTCTCTCGCATACTCCACCAATATAAAGGCACGTAAACTTACCTCTCAGTCGAGTCAGATTGAAAAAACAAGGGTCACGCACAAACTGGGCTACTCCTAGGAGGCTCTCCGGTTGTCCAACAAATTGGACAAATTATATCTGCCCGCTAATTGGCAAATACACCGCTATACCTTTAAAGTGTGTCGCACACACTGACAGCTTTAAAGGCTCCTCAAATGCCTGATAGGCAACGGTTAGTGCCCACAGGTTTCCAGTTTGCAACAGATTATAGTTACCTTTATGAGGTTTGTCATTTAACTGGTGAGTAGGGGTATTTGATCATCCGTGTTAAGGTTCTTGCGAATCTGCTCGATAAATCTTTCGCTTGTCCTAAATGTTCGTTAACAGTGGGGATAACCTGCAAGGCTATTTAGCTGTTTGGCAAAAAATAAACACCGTAGATGGTGAATCTTAGGCGGACGTAAAACGGATGGGGCAGACTCAGGGAGTCAACGCGCCGCAACCATGTGCTCATCTTCAAATACACAACCACTACAGAATGAGATTGCCGACAAAGACATGGGAGATGGGATGGTCATTTCTGGCCTATTGGTCGTTTTCGGTCGGCCTTACCCGGCCCCAGATTCCTTGAGGACGCCTGAGAATTGAACCCGCGTTCACTTGTTTATCAATCGTTGGTATGTTAAATGCTCTAACCACTGAACCACGGGCTCGTTGACCTGTCAGTTGCGATCGGAAGCCTTAACTATGTTGAAGGTGCGCTCACCAAACGGTTAACGAAGGCTCTAAATCGAGTCCTAAAGCACAACGGGACAAGAGTGTCTCCGTGACCCGATCGGTGAGCGCACTTCCAACGCTCATAACCACCAATTTTGACTCGATTAATGTCCATTGAATATCCTGCACAGAGTGCGATTATAAGGGATGAACGTAAACAAGTTCAATAATGTGCGAAAATGGCAGGATTAATCGGTCACGGGAAAGTCAATACAATGACAACACTAACAACTCTTGTTGGCATGATTCCAACAGGCCCGCAAGTTATTGTCTGAAGCAGCAGCCTTCACTTTGTCAAGGGGGCTTCAGGGAGACTTGTGAAGGTTGGAATAATTCAAAGTATCGAGTCGTGCGACACAAACGTCTGCAGCAGAGCCGGACAAGGACACGGTGGCAGGCCAGCGCCTACTTTGAATGATTTGACAAGATGTATCGAAGAAGGCAAGACACTGTCATCCACTTCGTCAGCGATTGACTCCTTTCCTGTAGTACCCTTTCGACGTCCGAATTCTGATGAATAAATTGTTTTCTTTGTTCATACCAACCAACACTCGCAGACCGGACTTCTTTCCCATTGAATCACTGGTCAGGCAAACTCAGGAGTGCCTGTTGCCTAGTCACCCTTCACAGAAGCAATCGTTGAAAACCCAAAACGCCGCTCAACCGTCCAGATTCTGTCGTCTACTTGCAAATGTCATGTAATTAATTCGGGTCTTGCGTTTTGTGGCATCGTCTGAGTCAAGGGCAGTTCACACAGCTGCACTCATCCGCCCGTCTGACCCACGGCAGCCGCAGTTTGTCGCTAAACCACAACCACCATCGCTATGCCGGAAAAATAGAACTCCAGGCCCACCGACGACCGTTGTAAAATACCAGTCACGAATGCTGTCGAAGCGAAAGGCAAACGGTCGACACCTACATTTTCCGGAGAATTAACGGAGGGGAGAATACTTTTGCTTTGTGGGAAGAAGTGAGGGGAGGGGAGGACTCACGGCCGAGACGCGGTCGACGTTCGGACTGGCTGCCGGGTCGGGAGACGTGAAAGACCTGGACAAAACGGTTGAAACCGCAGTAGAGCAGCTGACCGTCCGCGGAGAATGCGATGCTCTGAGCAGCTATTGACTCACCCTGTGGAAGAGAAAAGCGGCATGATGCCAGTAGAGTGGAGAAAACAAGTCAAAAAGCGCCAATGACCTCCCACATCGCCTACGAAACAGTGTATACTAAGCCATTCTCGGTTGTTTTTCTTTGCTTTAATTCAGCCACGGCTAACTAAATCACCAGCTGCGCTGCCAAGAATAGGTATCAGTTTCCTACACTAAGGGATGGCTCAGGTATCGCTGGCAGTGCAGATATTCCAGAATTATCTCTGCAAATCCATAGTTCGTCGACACTGTCTGATAGCTGCGACATAGCTCGCTGACTACGGGGAATAGAGAGCCGGCAAAGTCACAAAGTGTCGGCTGATAGACGAAACCCAACCGCCGAACCCACGAATACACCCACTGCGCACTACTTCAGAGCTGTCACGGTCAGGCCTGTCGACTGTGCGAAGCAATTGCTATCGCCTTCTTCCTGACAAGGCGAGTCTACCTTTACTTTAATTGGCTGCTTTACTGTGAGTGCCAGAAAGCTTGACTTGTAAATATGTGGAGGTTCGTGTTCTGAAGCACAACAATACTCTCTCCTTGATCGCGGACAAGCCAACCCAGGGGACGTTTACCAGAAATAAAGAGGCCCATTGTCCGCGGAAATCCGCGAACCAGCGAAAAACCCGTGATATATATTTACATATGCTTGAATATAAAATCCACGACAGACTGAAAGCGCGAAATAGGGAGGAATGGCTATAGTTTGTTTTGCCACGTCGGTAACTGCTGTGCATAAACGAACAGCCCGGAAGCAAACGATAAATTGCCTGCTGATGTAGCTGGCCTATTTCATGAAAAGTTAACTTAAATTCCGAAATGTGTTTTTGATTAGGATGGATTACCTAGGCGGAGTTGTAATATTGGTTACCGTGCGGCATAATCCCAAAATAGTTCCGTCGCACCAGGTTGAGTCTCGTTCCGGTCGTCTGCAAAAATCACACCCGGCAGAAAATGACTACCCAAGTAGTATGACCGGTTGCTGCTGGTTTTTTATATTTTCATATGTTCAAATATACTTTATGGATGTATATTTATGCATATTTATGTGTGATTTCCATTACAGGGGAAATATATAGTTTCGAGTTTGGCAACCCTGAAAACAAATGCGATGGCAAGTCAAGTTCAGAATTATTCGAGAATTAAAGTCTTTTTAAAACCGACAGATACGCTTTCTTCCAGTATACAATTTGAAGAATGATACTGTGCTACCAAATGAGTGCAAGAAAAGATATTTCTGCATGCTTTCTAAGAAACCTATTTGAATGTATAGGGGGTGTCGAGAATCAATGGGAGAAATTAGCACTGCTTAAGTAGTCATTTTTACAAGGTAGTTTTTGTAAGCGACTGAAAAAGAGCTCGTTTAAAAGCCAGGAACCTGAAGTGACTGCAATATCTTTTGATTATACTACACGCCAGTTGGTCTTACGACTCTACCCAAGTAATGCTTTCAAATGGAACACACATTTCCGAATTTCGGTTAATGTGTCATGAGGTCTACCGTGTGCTTGGACCTCCAAAAGCTTCCTTAATGATCTACCAGTATACAGGGAGGGGGTGTTTAATCCACCGATTATCTAAAAAAGGTTGTTTAAAACTTTGTTGCATAAATTCTATTTTAATCGCTTTTTACTTTTCTGAATCCGACAGGTTTTCGCGTTTTCGGCATTATCGTCTTGTCATACAAAGGTTAGTATTTAACCCACAGCTTTTGCTTTCGTTTTACGAAGAATTGTCCCTCTTTTTAAAGTTAATGATGGAATCGATGTAATTAGACGGATGCCGAGTTGGCAGGGCGTTTTATCGATTCGGTTACCTGCAGTTTTTTCTGGTTGTTGGGACATTTCTGTACGGCAAAGTGCGTTAATTCGGCAGCAGCACAGTCATATTTGGCCCATGGATCTGCTCAAAGCAGTCGCAACGTTTTTCACCCACTCGACATGAATTAGCTCACTGGCCTATGCGAAAACATATTGCTCAGTAGAGGAGAGGAGGATGTGTGAACGGAGAAGATGCAACGAAACGACTATGAAACACCTGCATCTTCCCAGTCTGCAATTCTACCCATTGTCCCCAAATGGCGTACCAAAGTCTCCGAGTACACGGAGTGGCTGTCCTGTAGACCGTGGATGAATGTGCGGAGCACCCGATGGCCGCAAAGTCCGAGGGTTCACCCCCACGGGCTGTTACCTAACGAATGCCTCGCTGCAGCTAATGCCCTAACTGATGCAGAGGGCTCGTGAAATTTGCACATCTTGACATCTGCAGTTCTTGCCTGCCCATGTTTTCAAATTTCTCAGAACTCTTTAGGGAGCACACCACTCTGTGGGTTTAAGTCACACAGCCAACCCTACTGGGCTACAATAGTGGGAGTTTGGGTAAGCTATCACCCACCAGGGATAAAGATTAGAAACAGCACTCACCATATGATTAAAAGGTCGATAGCTGGCTCGTAGGGTGCCCGTAAAGGCGTCCCACAGATGAACAGGAGTACGCCGGCTGGTGCTCGCAAAACTGTAACGGCAAGAGAAGGCCCGTGAACCTTTGTACAGGGGGTGGCAATGGGTGCAAGGCAAGAAAATCATGCAACTTAATGACCACATATGCGCTGAAGAAGTAAATACGCAGCGATTCAAGTTCTAATACTGGTATTATCGAGACAGCATCACTAATGTCAACGCCGACACCGCCCAGACTCCCGACTGCTGTATGCGGACGAGTCCACAGGACTGTCGCGAGATGCATGTACATGATGCTAGTTGTCGAAGCTATAAGGCTCCACGACTGGGGAACGTGGCTTCTATGTACTGTCGAACCGTAAAGTCTTTAGCCCGCTGGCGAATAGTGTGACTGAGAGATGCTGCAGCTCCGACTTACGGGAGACGGCCCGAAAGTGGAACTTGACAGACGATCGGGGAGGAACCTCGTTACGCGTCGGCCATCTGTGGTAGAAAAGCGTCCCGGCTGCTCGAGCCAATCGGGTGTAGGCGGCCAGGACTCAGCGGACTGAGTTAACTGACCAGTGGACTTGGACCTAACTCCAAGCGCACTTTGCCTTCTGAAACCCGCCTGGCCTGTTTGTGACAGTCACCACTGTTTCTGGTGGTCGATCATGCACCCCGTCAGACAGTGGACAAGTGTCGAGACGCACGTCTTTTCGACATCACCTCCTTCGACGAGGAACTGCAACTGGGGAGTTACCGAAGGATGTTGGGCCTGAAAGTTCCCAATGTTTGAGAAAAGAATGGACAGCGGCTGCCTACGGCCTGGACTTCGATCGTAAGGCATGGATCATACTTATTCGAAATATTGTGAAAAATAAGACTAACCCAACCGTTTTTTGAGGTATCTAGTAAAAAAATATAAACAATCGCCCATTAAAACAGCCAAGGTTGAAAAAGGCTATCAAAGAACAGCGAAGTCAGAGAAGGGGGTACTTCAAAACTGCCCGACACCTTTCCCAGCCACTTGACTCCTGTATCAAACGCCGAATTGATAGACGCTGCTAGGTATTAACAATAAAAAACACGCCTCGGCCGATAAAAACTTGACGGAAGGAACTGCGTCCTTTGTATTAAATTGATACGTAGTCCAGTTTCTGAACCACAAAACGGAGCTGACTGAGCGTAGTCGTCTCAAATCCCATACCCGGCCCTCGGACGTCAAGTTAAAGCCCTGGTAGGGAGAGGTCAGTGTGGGCTACATTAACCCTTTGAGAGCTCAAACGTATAATATCCACCAACGAGTACTTCCGCGACTTCATGTAGCAGTTAATCCGCACAACCGCGAACGCGGCCGGGCTAATATGATATGCTACAGGGTACATCTGAAGGCGCATTAGCTGGCGTCTGAAGACATAGCGAAAAAAAATACCCAGGATCCGAGAAACCCGTCGTGGTCTTCGCAGAAAATTCCGAGCTATCTGCTGATTACCCTGAAAGGGTGACGTTTGATGTATGGGAACGGTGCGGAGGCCATGGGATGGGCGACAGAGGAAGCACGTAAACTTCTTCTATTAAGTGAAGTTAAGTGCTTTGCCTATGTCGTCGCAATGAGCGCGAACTATCTTATTTTGGAAGTGAGGGGTATACAGGCAGCAGCAGTCCGGAGGCTAGTTTTCGATCTTATTCAACAAATAAATCTCCCGGCGTTCACACAATCACGAAAGAGGACTGATTGGACGAGAGATCAGCACGCACAGATCTTCGGAGTAACTGAGGTGTCCCAACGAACTTATAGGAACTCCTAAGAAAAATAGTTTCTACTCCCTACCTTCGGCAACAAGTGGCTCCGAGATATTTGAACGGCTGTACCCTTTGTCCTGGCTGCGGACTATTTTAGTCATGGCAAAGAAAAGTGAAAGGAAACTTTTAAAAAACGTTGGCAGAAACCTCGAGCGCTACAGTGGAAGCAAGAGTAGGCGAAAACGGTTTAAGTAGGACTTTTACCAGCAGGTGATGGGATCTGTTGTTTTCATCCCCGGAAACCAGCAGTAGTCGTAAATGAGTTCTGGTTCGCGCATCCAGAGGACAGCTGGCTAGACAAAGCGAGTAAAGTCAAGAATAAGCATCGAGTATAACGCGCCGCAACGTTCACCCGCCAAAAAAAGTGTGAAACTAGACACAAAACTAACTGGAGATGTGTTGTTGTTCTTCGTATGCTTGCAAAAACGTCTATGTGTGAATTTTATTCCTTTACCGAGGCCGATAAAATATGAAGTCGGGCACCTAGCAAATTATCAGAGGTCCAATCGGGGATTCTAACGCTGAGGCGTAGGACGGAATAACGAAAATTTAGACCCGCTTGCTGACTGCTACCACAAGTCTTGAAAGTGCCAAACAGATGTATGTGCAAACATTTGATAATATTTGCGGTTACCTGGGAATCAGATTTGCAGTTTCTTGGTAAAATATAATCCAAATGTTTATCAAAGCCAGTAGTCAACATTACTTGCATTAGGTACGATATCTTATGAATGTTAGTGGAACGAGTTTCTTATCGACCGCCTGCATAAACTACATTCCGCAAAAATAGCTACTTAAGTATTATGGTTTTTCCCATGGATTTATGATCCCCCCTATAAACGCAAATACACTTTGTTGGGAACACACAAACATATTATTTTTGCCCATTTGGTTGCAAACTATGTCTTCTCTCAATTTTGTACTTCAATAAGTAGTATCTTTCGGTCTTAAAAAATCTCTAATTATGAAATTTTTTATGACCCTGAAATGTCCAGTCGCACAGCATCGCATCAACACATTAATTAATGCTGCTTATAAAGTGGACGTGGTTCAAATCCACTACAAAAATGTATGTGTCCTATATGGCCTTTTCTTAATATCATATAGAAGTGTACTATTTTTCTTACACGGAAAGTATACAACTTGTGAGGTATAAACCCCGAATACAAGTGCAACGGCAGGTCGGGTCGAAAATTATTCGGAAATCCAGAAGGCTTTTTAAAACTAAAAGACACTATCCTCTCAAGTTTGAGATTTAAAGAAAACATAATTTGTCGCCAAAGAAGTGAAAAAAGGAGTACTCTCGTGCATTTTTTCTATAAAATACACTTGAGTTTATAAGGATATCGAAAATTAGTTGGGAAAGTTCATACTGCTTAAGTAGCTATTTGGCGGAATGCAGTTTACGCATGCGGTCGAGATGAGGCTCGTGTGAAGGTCGGCACCTTGGCGTAACTGCAATATCTTGGCATTATGCGATGTGAAAACTAACATGACAATCCTATTTAAGTAGTCTTTCCAAATTAAAAACAGAATTCGGTCAGTCAACATCCCATTAAATAGCTTATCTACTGTATCTAGCGTTTTAGTCGTTTCTGTAGTCTCCTGCTAGAGAGTGGTGCGTGTCCAACAATACACCAGGCGTGTGCACACATCTAGTAGGAGGGGCTCAAGTTCTTAGAGGCGTAAGATGGGAAAACCACACGTGCGTTTCCGATGCATAAGTGCGAGTTTTAACCCTGCGGAACTACGGTATATTTTCGGACACTTCGTTGATGCAGGGGCAGATGTCAAAAGATTCGGTCAGAAAGTTATTTGCAGTCTGCTCTGCGACCAGTGTAGGCCGTTTTCTGTCAATCAAACCCGTATCTCGTAGGAGGCCATTTACATTGAAAAGACTGAAACTGTAATGGCCGTGACGAATGCTCCTTCATAGTACATAATCGCCAACAACAGAAAACTAAATACGACAAGGAGTTAGGCAGGTAATCTCCATAATTTATAGGATTGAGTACAATGCAGAAGTGGCACCAACCAAAGTATCCGGTTCCATCGAATTTGACTCCAAATCGTAGTCCATTGGGTTTGGAGTTAGAGCGGGTGGGAATTCAAACATGCGAAATATATTGTCACAGCTGTTAGTGAGTAGGCACGTGCCATCTGGAGACCTTAAAATGGAAGGCGCGAGGAGAAAGTTGACACAAGAGGGCCTCGACTGCAATTTTATCAGTCAGACATTTCGTAATTTCACAATAAATAAGCAGCGGGCAGGGCATTTTAAGGATTGTAGGTGATGAAAAGAAATAATTTACAGGACACTTTGCTTTCGGAAATAAATTTTTGAACAAGAACGCGGTCGAGAACTTTAAACGCACACAGATAGGAGTAGATGCAGAAAAATGAGTTAACTCACCATAGGCAACCCCGAAGATAATTATTACCCTGCGGCAACTTGGAAGCGTAACGTTTGAATTCCTCCTCCACTCTCACAAACAACTTTGGCTTTAAACAGACCCAGTCGTAAGTTGCTGTGAGAAGAGATAGGGCAGAATCCCTAAGTAAAATCTGTCATACGGTGTATGTAGTGAAAAATATGAATTGCTTTTCTCTGCGCAATCAAAGAAACAGCACAGACAATAAAATGGAATCTAACTGACTTAAAGATAGTAATACCAGTCGTGACAAGTCACTTTGGCAGGCTGCGAGAATAAGTTTGATTATCAAGGGGATGCCACAAACATAGTCGAGTGGAATTAATGGCGCAGATTTGGAGAACACTGTCCATATCGTTTACCTCGTAAACCTCTAAGCAATCCTGATATATGGGTGGGTAAAAGTCAATTTATAATGACAGGTGGGACGTGTGCGCAGCAGTCCGCTAGAAATGGGCGAAAAAAAGGGGATTTACAGTTGCTTACGTTTGACTGTAGTCAAATGAAGGGCATTCACGCATGTCAGTATAAGCGGACAACCTTAGCCCACGTTACCGACACTCCAGTCGCAAGACCATATTAGTTTACTGGATAAAAATGCCTGAACGGTCTACACAGGACTATGCACGTCAAAACACTCTTGGATGTCTGCAACACATACATTCGTGTGCTGACAAACTAAATGACTGAGCTCTTTACTCAAGGATGCAAAATCACATACAGTTGGTTCTCATGACCACCGACGCTATTGGTCACACATTCTAATGCTCAGCTTGGTTGAAGAAGCAAACCTAGATGGATGCGGATGGAATTACATCAGTCCTGAGCGTAAAGGCCCATTCTGAAGAAATCGGTTACGGGTTGGCCGGTGTAACCTCAAATGTTAAGTGCCAGAAACAGGCAGACAAAGCATTACTTCGACCGTTATGACAACCAAACACAGCTCTGCTTGCCTACACACAATGCTTACCAGCTATCTGAGGGGGAGAAGGTTCAGAACATCGCAAAGAATCATCCAAATATATGGCATTTGACGGTTGGAGAGGCTGTGCGCGGCTTCAGAGTTCTGAGGACTTTCATATGCAAACAGCGAATTCTAGTACGCGCAAATACCCAGAGTGAAAAATGTCTGTTATATAAAGCACGCATAGTCGTCAATAGGATTAGAAAGAATATTTGAGGACGGGCAAAATTAATACATTCTTCCTGAGTGGCTAAGCCTAACAATAATTAAGGTAAATCGGCACATTCAAAACATGCTGATGTACAGACTGCCGTCAGCTCCAATATCCAAACTCGTGCCCCGGAAGGTTAAGGGCACAAAACATGTCATAGAAAGAGCACGAGCGACCCTTTGAAAGACGCAGTTCGTATTTTTCTGAGACTCGAAATCAGCAGATTTCCCAACCACAAACTGTTGTTGAGACAGTCGACATAAATACCGAGGGTAACTGAACCCAAAGCAGCCAGCGGTAGTACGAACAGATCGACTTCCTATTATTCAGCCATTTACTAACAGCCTACATATTTTGCAAATTTTTACATGCCTCAATGTCAGGACTTGAAGCGCATATATATATGAAGGCTGGTGCGAAGTTCACTCGACGGACAAGTTCTTACCCATGACTTTAGGTACGTCGGAAATGTCTCCGGGAGACGCCTCGGATTCCGACTGAGTAGTGTCAGACGACGCAGGTGCATTATCCTCTACTTCGGAAGTGCTTTGTCGTCTTTCAGTGACCAATTCCGGTTCTAAAGGTTGTGTTATGACGCCGGTTTCCATATGAGAAGGCTCGATTACGGGCCTATTTTCCGAAACATATGTGCATGCGGGCACAACTTGCAGGGAGGAATGGGGCGTGTCTAAATCAGTCTGCGTAAATTCTGAAGCAGCAATGTTTGTGGCGATTTCTGCCAACCCTGACGGCACACTTGATATCTGTTGGGAGCAAGGCGAAGAAGCCATGTCAGTCTGCCCACGGTCTGAATGGGGATACGACATGCTTACTTCGGAGGGCTGCTGAGAGGCTGTTGGATGGGCACAGTCCATTGATCAAGGAGACAACACCTTCAAGAACGCGCAAAGTAAAGGAGTCTGCATAAACCGGACTTAATGTGAAAAGCCAGTATCATAAATAAAATTTATTGAGGTAAAAAAAGCTAAATCAAAGTATACCAACAATATTGCTAATCTAGCCGAACAGCAAATGATGAACCGCAGGAACAACCGCGCTCTGCCTGGGGGTTCTTTGTCACACGGAATCCGGAGCGGATAAGTTCTTCCTCATAGTCGAGAGTTGATCCGTCGATAAGCGAATACGATTGGTCATCAATGACTACCCTGACGCCCGACTGTGTTATGACACTACAAGTGGTTGACTGAAACCAAGGGTTACTTACTGGTCGTCTTCGGTAATATTCTTTTCTATGAGGAATTTGTACTGAAACCCTGAGCAGCCACCACTGTCTACCATAACCCTCAAAAGGCCCTCATTTTCACCCATTTCATTTAGTCGCTGTTAAAAAAGTCGTAGACTCAAGAACAGACCGAACCTTTACACAGGACTCGGAGAGCGTAACTTTACTAAGGGCATGAATAAGAGGTAGCTTGTTCCACAAACACAGCACATCCCGATAGATCACGGATCGCAACATACGAGCAGTCGGCGCCGATAGTTTGACATTTGTTGCAAAATTATAGACAAGTAAAACAAGTCATAATTAGTTAACGGTAGTTGCTCAAAAATCCGAGGTTATGTGTGTGGACGATTTATTCAGAACCCCAAACGATTATTTAAAACCATAACAAGGGCATAATTTCTTCCTCCGAAGTACACCACTGCATCGTCAAATTCACTTCAGGCCCACATAATCAATAATAAAAGACGTCTCTCCTCAAATATGTGTTAGTGAGCACAAGTTAACCTAAAATGTCTGGATAATCCAACTAACTTTTTTCCATCGGAGAAGACCATCTTGAGCCACTGACCTAACCAGATGATGTGATCTTCAGTTGAACGTACTAGTTGTTCATTGTGGGTAACGCGCAAGGTGCGCTGGACCAACACGGGAACTAGATCATGGTGCGGTACGCGTTAGCAGGCTCCTAAATCACAGCGAATGTAATGCACGGGGTTCCATGACACGACTTGCCGCAGTCTCATGCCCCACCAACCATATGAGCCCGGTCTCGCCTCCGATCGTCTTGACTCTGGTCTCACTTAGGGTCCAGAATGTTTTTAGAAGATGCAGTGCGGTTGATGTAGCACTATTCTACCATAACAATAATCTTATTTAAGGGTAAGTCACCGCTGTAGGAGAAACGGTGGGCACCGCCGACAACAACGGTCGAACAGTTGGTATTTCGCAGTGATATTCACCGATGTCCTCGGCAGTTGGTTTCCCCTACTCGACTTCGTCAGGTCCCACCTACTCAATCGTCACCAGAAATTCATGGTTCATCATAGCTTCTGGACATCTCACACAGTTACGAGCTGTGTATTCCCAGTCCCGGGTCTGAGAAACCTACTCTTGGTCATTAAAGTCAATGATATTTTGACGGTAATCGGAAATTCGCAGAAGTCTGTTTAAGCCTATAGCTATAATTGCGTTTACTCATACTCTAAGGATACCAAAACGTCTGCGGTTAACTCAAATGGACTGAGGTTGTGGAAATGGAGTCCTGTGTGACAACTATTTTCCCCGTCCAAGTGTATTTTCATGTCATTTGGTCCTGTAAAGCTTCCTGGCCTCAATTTTTCAGAATAACTGCTACCAGAATACTCCGCCATATAGGACTTGGGTTGCAAGCGTACGTTATCATTTCGCGCAGATCAAAACTCTGCACAGGCCGCGCAGATAAGCAGATTTATATTACATAATTTTTCCTTCCGGAAATGAAGCTAAGACTATCAAACGTTTGTTATTCCCGCCGTCGGAGGACGCAGTACTTTCTTTGGTTTAATGAACGCCTGTGACGTAACAAAATCGAAAATTCCCAACGAGTTTTTAATCTCAAACTCTCATGATACTTCTTATACTGAGAGATGTCAACTGGCGCACATTAAGTCCTCCAGGGTTAGAAAACTCGAAGCTGGCCATTGCTTCCTGTTGGGCATTATCTGTAACCTTTATATTGCGCGCAATGACACTCTCAATTCGAGAGATCGGTCCTATGCCACGCGTAATTCCTTCATGCTGATTCCGCCGCCTCATTTATCTACACCTAAACTCTCCCTCTTTTGCATCGCAATCTGTCTTTCATGGAGTATTCTTTCCCCAGAACTCAGTTGAGCGTCCAACTTATCGGTATTCAAATCGGAATTCAGTAAGCAGCCATTCTTAATCGTTGGTTTCGCGATAACTCATCTTCTGGACATTGAAAAAGGGTCCACCGGTGGTTAAATTTCAGATAATGCATGCCTTACTTGTTCAAGTAGAAGCACCCACTAAGACTTCTAATAATAAATAAAACGTGTTTTTATTTAACACCCAAAACGTTAATTTCGGGTTAAGTAAAGACACATTTTCATGTTAAATTCAGAACAATAAGGCGGACAATTAAGAGACCAGTCCGTGCCTTAAAAATACTCAGCCTTCTGTAAAAAACGATTGGCAAACAGTAAGAAAACCATTTCATCTTTTGAAAAAGCAAAATGAGTCTGCTTTGATTGATTTTCAGAGTGAAGAACTGCCGCTCATGGGAATGGAAATAAGCCGTTATTGCCAACGGATCCATGGGGGCCGAAGAAGGGAGTTGAATTTAAAATCTCGAAAATCATGTATGGCGAAGGGATATACAGAAGCAGGCTATATTTGCTGATAAATCAACTGTTTCTACTCTTCCTTCCCATGCAGCGATGACTTCCGCGGTTTCGATGTCATCTCCCCATTCCGACCCCCAGGGATTTGTCGGCAATCAAGGCGGATTTCTCTGTTTTCGTCGTCCGGTAGAAGTTTGGCCGGTCAGCAGAAAAGTATCATGATCACATTTTCAGAAGCTTTACTGTCCCCTCCTTGCTTGGACTCTTAGCGGGCTGTGACTGTTCGGGTTGAGTCCCACCTGTCTAGCCACCTTGATGATTGTGTCTGATGCCAAACCAAAAATATTACGATGGCGTCCGCAACGAGGAGCCTCATCCGGTTAAGAAATTTAGTATTGACGAGGGTCGGTTTGGGCACTTACATATTCTCATCTGCGGGACGGTCCTGTCTGAGACCCACGTTTACCTCCCTATGAGAGACAATTCTTCTCTCCTTTAAAATCAGTCAAATCAGATTCATTTTGCTTTTTCGAAAAAAACATAGTAGTTTTTTACTGTTTCCTCACCGTGTTCCACATCAGGCGGAGTATTTTATAAGCACGAACTGGACACAGCAAAGAAGCCGCCTATTAGTTCTAAATTTCAGATGAGAATACCCTGAAAATACATAAAAGCACCCTGGTAGGTGTTTTATGAAAAATTTATTTATTTAAAAGCGAATGGCAGATGATTTCTTAACATCCTCTTATCTGTATTTTTGAGAATATGAACTTTAGAGCTCGGCTAATAGCCTGTTAGCCATCGCTTCTCTCGGTAACCGCACGTAAAACTGCTCTTTTCGCTTGAAGGGCATAGCTTTTCTTCCTTGCCGTCCCTTTCTTCTTACTGGACTTTTGACAGCCTACACTGGGGTCATTCGCCACAGATTTAGTCCTCTTCAGGCGGCGCCTGACTTCTCTGCTGATATGACCCACTATACGCGACAAGGATGGTAATTCAAAAGTACTTTTGGCGGATAGAGTATCCATCTTCCCCAGGGTTTTTGTGCCTCTCGGGTCTAAAATGGCGTTTCTGCACACGCTCCTAATTCCAGAACTTGTACGGTCGCTTTGAACGATATGAATCGTATTGGCTAAAAGCGTTTCGTTAATTCCATACCGAGGTTACGTGAGTGAAGTGTAGGCTGTACAAGAATTTGTCGGAATCAACTGTCGCTCTGTGTGTCTGTCAAGTTGGGGTGGTGGCTGAGCACACGGGCCTTTTCGGCCACAAGTGCATTCACAACAGTGGGATTCACCGCCACATCGATATACCAAACCCACCTCCAATATCAGCGTCGCCACCACCACCAACTCAGCAACTACCAACTTATCCAGCCCATATTGCTAGCGCACATTTATATCACGCATCGTCCACGCCAATAAAATGACTAATGCTAACGAGCCTGAGACATGGGGTCTGAACCACACGCCTACCCATCGTCCAACCCTCCTCAAGACATCTGATACACGGCCAGATCAAGTAACTCTCACGTCGACGGAGAGCAAACCAAGTAGGTCAGCCGGCGCCTGACACGGACGCGTGCGTCACACGTAGATGACCCGTTACAGCTTTGTTAGACACCACGGCCAATCCTAGTACAAGATCACTGACAGGTCCGGATAGTCAAGTGGTGCGCCAGAGAGGGAAGGGAGAGTGAGACGAACTCTGGAGAATCCATCCTCACGTCACATCAGCGTATTCCTCACTATAATCAGTTTGACGAGCTATTAAGGTATAACGACGCACTAAAAGTCGCGGCTTAAAAGGCTGACAAATGACTTAGTTAGGCCTTCTTCGGCGGGCCACTTTCTTAGCTAAAAGCTGCAATGAACAGACACAGGTGTGTGCGCACTCAGACGGCGCAGAAGGTTCGCCGACAGGTTTCAACTGGTAGGTTAGCTCCGCCATAAATCCGAAGTTTCTCAATGCATCATCACATGCGAGGCTCTATTGATAACAGTCGGACGTAGGTAGGACACTCTCTTGACTTCATTTATACAAATCTCTAATGTTAGTGGGACTGAGACGCCAAAGTAAATCGCTTCTGGGATTCCTTCTAATGTGACTATGTCTTTCACATTCAACATTTGTCAAAAAAATCTGTGGTTATGGAAACACTCCTTTCCGAAAGTCCCCTGCAGCTTACTTTCCTGCCACAACTCGTCTTCTGTAAAATCAATAAGCAGCAAAGCCCAGTGTTTACGCTATTTTTTATTGCATACCTCGAATACGGCAGAAATAGAGACCAATAAAGATGTGATGAGCGCGACGTTTATAATGTGGAAATTTAAGCATTTCACACTCAGACTTTTCAATATTTCTGAAGCGTATAATTAAGAGAGAAGCTTCATGGACTCCGTCCAGAAGTTTACAAAAATATTTAGGCCGCAATTCTTCAGCTTTGGCGGGATAACCGTCTAATGTTCATAAACTGTCAAGAGGCAGCCAGTAGTATGCAACTGTTTCAGGATTAACCATACTGACATCCCAGATTCTAGCCAAAAGCCCAGACATGTGTTCCCTCAATATTCTGTCGTTGTGTGACGTAGCTGTAGGTCCCGTGTAGAGATTTCCTATTCCAGAGTTCTATCCAGCTTTATTTTGAGGATCGACGTAGTCAACGAATTTTAAGTGCTCAAATGACGTAAGATAATTTATAAAATTGCTACAAAAAGGATATGGGCGTATGCAAGATAAACCGATTAAATGTGTTTTTGCACGGCTGACGGCGGACAGATGGTTGAAGTTTCAAAATGCATTTGATTTCCAGGTAGCTATTTGTAATCGCAAACAAAAACCATAAGTTGACAATCAATCACCTCTTGATGAGCAAATAAAATCTTGAACTTGATGACATAGTGCAACAGGCGATCATTTTTATCGGTAATTTTCGTTCCCGCTTCCCCATTTTAAGAATCCACGCCCATGTGGACACGAATTGACGCTTGTCACTTCGACACTCCGCTTAGTTCCCGTTCTCGTTTATAATCTGCCGCTCTGATTACTTTCGTATTTCTATTCATATTTATCGTATCACAACGTCTAGTTTACGCGGGGAAGCGTTTTTCCGCTTTCTCCATTTGACTCTTGCACATTTTACTGAATTGTTAGCGTCTGCATATCCCGTCGCTTACTATCAGAGTTAGACCCACCCGAGATTTATTTTATCCTCTCTTTGGTTACGTTTCGGCAATAAATTATTTTCTATCCATCTGTTTATTTATTATTATGTCTACACCACCCTTGTTCAGTGCTAGTGTTTATGAAGACTCAGCGCAACTTTTAGAAGAAATATCTTCAGCGTTCCCACCGGTGGGGCTAAAACTCCTACCCCAGTATTTGACGACTACAAACCTCGACACGCGCTACCCTACTCGGCCGCTACAATATCACCCTCAGCGGCTGTGGATTTGCGAGAGACCCATCGGGACGTCTTGGAATGCCTTGCATCGGAAAGTAACAACTGTCAGGATTATAGGCAAGGAAATGCTTAATAGGGTAAGGAGGAATTATATTTGGTCACAGATAGAAGGAAATGAACTCAAAAGCATTAACTAAACGAAGATTCGGAAGTCCGGTTAACACCAGTACTTCTTAGAAGGCTTTCTCTCAAGCCTGCAACGCCTTGTTAACGTTGACTTTGCGAATCGGTGCTTCGCAATTCTGTAGACAAAAAGAATATAGATATGTATCTTTGTCATTCCACATTTCATTTTAGAAGGGGATAGCTACTTGTTACAAAGGGTATGAGATAATTTGTACAGACCACGTGTTCCCCAGGCGGACGAATCTATTTACAAGTGAAATGTACTCAAACGTCTTAACGCGGGAAAACAATATACCTTAGCCCGTAGAACACCCTCTTACTGGGCAACTTTAAGTGCCAAAAAATGGATATATGCAGAGCAGACAGTTGAGAAATATGTCAAACCTTGCGGTGCATTTTCATAATCATCCGCCTCAGACTTGACCACCGAAGAGGTGGTACCCATCGACTCCCTGTCCGTAGATTTAGAACGAACCTCGACTTCCGCGAGACTTGACTCGATGCCAACTTTATATGTGACGTTAGCTGTAGAGATATTACAAGTGCAGTTAAATTCGCGAAGGTAAGAAAACCGAGAACCTTTCTAAGAGAAGCAGATCTATGAAACGTAACCTACAATACGGGATTTGTGCTGCTGTGTGCAGCGTTATCCTTATTTTAAATTTGGGAATGAGTTTCAGTTGCTAATATGAAGGGGTGTTTTAAGTAGCCACAAATGGCGTTATTAGTCAGTCCTACTAAATCCGGACGGAGATGTCTCACTAGGTAATCCAAGTAGAGGCCTTTGCAAAATGTTTAAACCTCGTCGAAAGCCTACAGACAATTTTGCACTACTATTTATATCCTCGGATCGATAAATAATTACCCGCTGATCTCGGCCATGTCAATCCCCTGGCATATAACTCTTAGTGCTCTAGGCAGGGATTACTGAAAAGTCCTTACTCCTTGCATTTGTACACGTTGGTCCCAATAATTTATCAAATGGGATCTACAGAAAAGTAATGCAACGTCTGTTAGGCTTAGCGCGCTTCAAAGTTATTTCCATTCATCATTACCAACATAGCGACTAAAAGAGGGTGTGTTTACGTTGCTTGTGTGGTAACCTGTTACCAAAGCTTGCGTCAACCTTCTGGGAAGCTTCACAGCCATATGATCAGGGTTCGAAGAAACCGTAAGATTTAATTGGATCGGTGGTACTCTGCGGTCAGTCTGAAAGGACGTTCTGCACTTTACAGAGTTCACGTTACTATTTTATAGCTGTTGTGATAGGGTTGTGGCCGATATTTGAAGTGCTTGATTGGACAAATAATTGACCTCTCGGCCGTTCACTGTTATGCAAATGCATAAAATGATTCAGTGTGCATTACGATAGCCTGTCACAAGTTACTGAAGTTATAGAAGAGGAAGGTGAAGTCACCGGTACAATTAAGATTGGTCAACATTCGTCTAGCTGGCTGCCTTATAACTCCGAACAGCAGAATGTCCTACCGAGTACCTGTGGCAGGACAGTTGAATGAGGATTCGAGGCCCCTTTCAAAGCAAGAGTCGCGGCCGCCAGGTCAAGTCGATTCTCCCGCCCGCACGGGTTGACAACTGCGAGTGTGGATCGTCCCTGCGGTGTAGGGGTGTCCAGCTGTGGGTCCACCTGACGGTCGTAGTATGTCGCTCACTTGCTTGCAGGTGTAAACTACACCTAGCACCCACTAACTGGCACACAACTCCCACATGTGGCTCCCGAAGCTAGCCTCGGTCTAGCGGTCATACCCCGGCAACTGCCTCGACCACCGGGCTAAACCATGTGAGAGTATCCGTGCGTGCGTCTCCGTACACGGTAACTCGGCTCCGTCGGTCGGATAAATTACCGCCCATGTATCTCCGAGCAGAGACTCCATCTGCAACACCGCAGGAGCCCACGCTAAGTCGGGTCGTCCTCCCACTTAACAAAAGTCTTGGCCCATAATTGAGTTCGGCAGCCGCCTAGGTCAACTAAGCAGCCCTAGTTAGGGAGTGCACTGTTCACCCCCGCGAGGGGAAAGGGATTAAAAAGATTTCCCAAACAAATACCATGGACCCACGCAGTCTGCAGACTGACCGTGACCTCAGACGCAAAACTCACGGTCGAAATAACCAAATCCGAAACAATACACTCTCTCTTCCACCTCCCCGCTGCCTCGCTCGCCTGACTAGTAGGCTGAGTCCGCTCAATCTGGCAGCCTAGATTGTTCGTTCTCTTTTAGACAATTCGAGGAGCATCCGACCGGAACAGAAGACGACGCAAGTGGCTCGGGAATTGGCGTGCTACAAGGTGGACATCGCTGCATTCAGTGAGACTTGGTTCCCCGAACAAGGTGAACTAGAGGAAATTGCGTGCCTGTTACACCCTCTGGAGCCGTCGTCCCAGGGCAAAGCTACGTGACACGGACGTCGCCTTCGTCATTCCGAATGACATCATGGGATGACCGCCTGTCTGCCGCAGGGTATAAATGATCTCCTGATGAGCCCCCGTCTTCTTCTCCTGAGAGGCAAGTTCGTCATCATCGTCAGTATTTACGCTCCCTGATGACCAATCCTGATGCTGCATGAGACGAATTCAACAAGGACCTGCACGTCCTCCTGGTGTCCTTGCCGAAGGCGGATAAGCCAATTGTCCTTGGTGAATTAAACGCCCGCGTCGGCACAGATTATGCTGCCTGGAGAGGAGTGCTGGGTCCCCATGGTCGCAACGGCTCCTACGACAATCACCTGCTCCTTCTACAAACCTGCGAGAACACTGGATCGTCCTGACGGACACCTACTTCTGTCTTCCGATGCGAGAGAAGACGATCCTGGGTGCTGACAGATGGACCGACCATCGCCTCGTCCTCTCGACGATGCGAATTCGCCTACAGCAGCACAGGAGACCTCAAGGTAAGCGATCCCCAGACAAGCCGAATATTGCCTTGTTGTATTTGTCTGCTCACCATCTCCACTTAAGAAGCCAGCTTTCTCAACGGCTAGACACCCTATCAATTGTTGATGCCGCAGCGACTGGCGACAACGCCTCCGTGTCAACTGCAAGACACAGCCCAGTCAACGACCCTGGCCGTCCTCGGTCGCGCACGCCGCCAACACCAGAACCGGATTGATTAAAACGACGCCACTATCAGCGGCCTGCCAGCCGAGAAGAAGCGTCTGCACAAAGCCTACGTCGACCACCTACCGAGGACACGAGAGCAGCCTGGTACTGTAGTTGCCGCTTTGTGTAATGCCGGCTACGTGAGATGCGGAACGCCTGGACGGCTGGCAAGGCCGAGGAGATCCAAGGGTACGCGGACCGCAACGAATGGAATAACTTCTTTTCCGCGAGCAAAGTTGTATATGGTCCGCTAACTAAAGCAGTTTCACTTCCTCTCAGCGCCGACGGCAGTACCCTACTCAGTGAGAAGACACAAATTCTACAGCGATGGGCCGAGCACTTTTGAGGCGTTGTCAGCCGTCCCTCCATCATCTCCGGCGCCGCCACCGCCCGTCTGCCCCAAGTGGAGACCGACGCTGACCTTAACCTCCCGCCCTATCTCCACGATACCATCAGGGCCGTACTGAAACTCTCCAGCGGGAAAGCGCCCGGATCGGACGTGATCCCTGCTAAGATCTGCATGCACGACGGCTCTTAACTCATGCATCAGCTGACGGCACTCTTTCAGGAGATATGGCGTCCAGGAGAAATCCCGCAGGATTTCAAGGACGGCACAATCTTACATCTCTATGAGCGGACAGGTAATCGCCAGCTCTGCGACAATTACCGATGCATCTTCTTGCTAAACATCGCAAAGACAATCTTCGCTAGTATCCTTCTCAACCGCTTGAACAACCATCTGGAACAAGATCTCCTGCCAAAAAGCCAGTGCCGCTTCCCCCGTCATGGCTTAGCCACTGACATGATCGTTGCCGACTGTCAACTGCAGGAGAGGTGTCGGAGATGTGGACCCACCTCTATTCTACCGTCGTGGATCTGGCAAAGCCTTCGACACGGTGAATAGTGTAGGACTGTGGAAAATCATGCAGAAATTCGGCTGCCCCGAACAATTCACTCATATGGTGCGTCAACTCCACGATGGCATGATGGCGCGAGTCACGAACAAGCGAGCTGCCTCAGGGGCATTCGCAGTGATCAACGGAGTGAAGCAGGGCTGCGTCCTTGCGCCTACCCTTTTCAGTCCCATGTTCGCTGTCATGCTGATGGACGTCCGCCGTGACGAACATCCTGGGATTCGCGTCGCCTACAGGACGGATGGCCGCCTTCTTAATCAGCGGCGGATGCACTTCCAGTCGCGTGTATCCACAACCATCGTACACGAACTCTTGTTCGTCGATGACTGCGCCCTCGCGGCAACAACTGAAGGAGACATGCAAGGGAGCATGGATATCTTTTCCGCCGCCTGCTAGGACTTCGGCCTCATCATCAACACGTAGAAGACGGTGGTCATGCGCCAACCGCCGCCCGACGTCACATCGCAAATAAACGTGAACGGTGCCGCACCGCACGTGCTGGACAACTTGACGTATCTGGACAGCATCCCCTTCCTCAGCACCGAAATCGACGATGAAGTGGCCCACCAGATTTCCAAGGCCAGTCAAGCCTTCCGTTGCCTTCAAAACACAGTTTGAAATCGTCGCGGTCTTGTAATCAGTACGTAACTGAAGGTATATAAGGCCGTCATACTACCGACGTTGCTGTTTGGAGCAGAAACCTGGACGGTGTATATGAGGAGGCATGCGGACGCAACTAATTCCACCGCAGCTGTCTTCGTCGAATACTGAAGCTGAGACGGCAGGACCGGATACCAGACACGGACTCACTGGAGAGGACGGGAATCCTCAGCATCCACGCTATGCTGCAGCAGCCACCTCGTACGGATGGGGGACGAGAGGCTACCCAAATGACTCATATATTGAGATGTCGCGACGGGTTCACGCCGAGGAGGAGGCCAAGTCCGGCGCTACAAGGATACTCTGAAAACCTCTCTGAAGCGCCTGCAGATCAACTCAGCAAACTGGGAAGAGCTCGCCCGAGACTGCCCTACATGGAGGAGAACAGTGAAGACAGCTGCCAAAGCCAAACGCGAGACACGCAAATCTCAATTGCCGCCGCCGCCTCACAACGCCAACGCCCAACCGCCTCCAACGTGTCCACAATGTCAGCATGCATCCGGGGCGCTATTTGGACATGTTGGACACTTCCAGACTAACTGCAACACCCGGACTGCACCAACCGTCTTCTCTCCGTCCACCCCTCCCTCGTCTCCCACGCTTCAGCCTACGTTGACCGCCCTCCCCAACTACCAATAACGTCCTCCTTCTCCTCCTCCACCGCCCACCACCACCAACTCCATCACACTTAGCACCTCTTGCATACCCACCACGCTCAGCCCAACCTACACCCCGTCGTCACGCGCGCCCATCACCACCAGCTTCACCACCTCCATCACCGAAGCTGGTGCTGATACCTCAGACTTCTCTTGTCCACACTGTCCCCGTACATTCATTTCGCGCATCGGACTGATCAGTCACTTGCGAATCCATCGCACAAAAACTGGCGAACCAGCGCCTGGAACATCAAACTACACTCGCCGCATTCACCTTTACTGTCCACATTGCACTCGCACATCTATTCACAACATGGGTCCACTAGGTCACATACGCTTTCACGAAAACCTGCGAGAGACAACCGCCGTCTGTCCCACACCATCACATCATCCCTTACCAACATCTCACCGCAAACCAACATCACCCATCGCAAGCACCCAACTGCCACCTCCCACTCAATTCGGAAGTGCGCTTCTCGGCTACTTTTCCATGCTGCATGTGTGATCAGAGTCTGAGACGAAGATGGTGCGTCGAGCGTCGTGACTCGCAAGGCAGCCGAATGACGTCCCAACCCAGTCCGCGCAGTCTGCCCAGTTTTATGTGTGTTTGTGTGGAGTGACGGACTGGTTGGCTGAGAGTCAGGCTGTCACGGTCCCTTTTCAAGCGATCTGTGACGCTCTCATGCGTGTGAGGAGAGCTTGTGTGTGTGTGTGTGTGTGCCCTCAGAACGGGCCACGTGGTAGATGCGGTGGCCCAAAACGGGGGCCATATCGGAATCTGGCAGGCGTTATCTGTGCGCAATAACAAATGCCAACATTTGCGGGGTGCGCTGGCGGACCCTGTTGTCGGCATTCGTCGCACAACTGGACCACTGCCTCCATCCCATTGTTTTGTGGTCAAAATCCTGGTCTTGGTGTGTGGACCAGGGGTGCGGAGTGGAGCGCCAAGGCGAAGACCCGTCCGAGCCATCCACCTGCGGCCTCCCCCGTCTCCGGTCTTCTTGACTCTGTCTTGACACCGGGCCCAGGCGGGGGAGGAGGAGAGAGTGTAGGTAGATGCTACGCAAGTCTACTGGCACTATAAACCCCTGCGTAAGTCACCGTCCCTGCTCCCACAATGCAGTCTGTGGGGCACACGGTGGTCATCGTCGAAATCGACGGACGAACTGTCGTGTGTGTGTGTGTGTGTGAGTGTGTGTGTTTTATGTATGGGTAGCGTCCCTCCGCCGAAGTTTGTTTTATTACCCAACCTTGAAGGGCGACGGCCCAGGTTAAATGCAGGGCCACGTGTCGTCTTTCTAGGCCATAAGGTCTGAAAGCGTGTGCTATGCCATTGTTGGCAAATCATGGTCCTCGCAGCCTGGTATGCGCTGGCTTATCCCTGCCGGTAGATGGGCATGGCTGCCCAGTCATTCTCGTCCTTTGGTTCCCTGTTGGGTTGTTGTTATCGGCGAAAATTCCTTGTTAAGTGTATGTTGTAGACCAGGGGGTGTGGTGGCACCCCTAGGTGCGGGTCCGGCTCTGCCAGCCACCTGCGCCTTCACCAGCCTCCGGTCTTCTTGACTATGTCTTAACATCGGATCCAGGTGGGGAATAGGGAGTGCGGTAGATGCTGTGCAAGCATATATTCTTGCCCTCAGAGCACTTACAGGTTAGGTATGGTCTTGCAGTCATTTACTACTAACCATATGCCCACCACCAAAGTAGACGCAAGGCCAGTACCGCGGTAGATTGCCGGTTCTTTTGCCGTTGCCCCATGCGACACTCAAACTGGGTATTACGAGTAAATTCTGCCTGTCCACGGGCCGGGATGAAGGGCTTGATAGGACTCCGAGATAATGAGAAGGCGCACTTCATCAACCCTTGCAGGAGGGGGAATGAGAAGTGAAA